CTTCTGTGATCTTCTGCCTTCCTCTTACAGGGACCGTTGTGATTACATAAAACCCCCCAGGGTAATCTCCCCATCCGAATATCCTTTGCTGAATCACTTTTGCCAGTACCTTTTAGCGTTAAAAGTTCCAACAATTTGGAACTTATAAGTTCCAAGAATTAAGACATGGACATCTTGACACCTAATATGTGCTCTACTTGTGTGAGAAGCCCATTGTTCTATGTCCCTACTCTCAACACCTCAATTAAACTTTCATCTCACTTTCCAGAATTGGACATGTTGAGTAAGAAAGGTCCTTATGTTTCTAATCTGTAAGATGAGGCTAGGCTAAATCATTGGTGTTCAAGCTTCTTTTCTAAAGCTCTTGAAAATGTTGTTCACACACAATTTTACTTGGTATGACAATAAGTGAATAAGATGAAAGTTGAACAGAGTGGAGTTATCCCACTTCCATCTGTAGCTGTTAGAGCTACGGATGCCTGAGAAATTTTCATATTAAACTCCTACCTTTGCTATGCAGAAAGTGAGGCCTAGAGAAGTGAAATAACTTGTGGTATTGGCTCTGCTGTTAATTGGTGGTGTCATTGTCATTAGATTGCATATACTCTCTGAGCCTCAATTTTGTTAGCTATGAAAATGAGCATTGAAAGGCTTTGTAAAGAAGTGGCATGCGAGAGAGATTTTAAGACACACTTAAATTGGTAGGAAGAAATAGGGTATTATGATACGTCGGATTTTTAAGATAGTCCCCCAAATCCCTGCATCCTGGTTTACAAACCCTGAATAATCCCCTCCCCTTTGTGTGGGCAAGATGTGGGAATATGATGCAGCTTTACTTCTGTGACCAGATTACGTTATGTGGCAAAGTTAAAGTGATTTTTGTGGATGTAATTAAGGTTCCTACTCAGTTGACTTTGAATTAACAAAGAGGAGTATTTTCCTGGGTGGATCTAGTCTAATCATGCAATTTTTGGAAAGAGGGTATGGTCCAGGCATTTGTGGCAGGAAGAAATTTGAAACAAGAGAGACATACTTATGCTAACCTCAGAGAAGCAAATATCTATGTTGTAGCGTGGGCCACATGGCAGGAAACAGCAGCCTGAGACAGCTGAGGAGCTGAGAGAGATGCTCAGCCGACAGCCAGCAAGAAAACAGAGACTTTCGTCCTGTAGCTGCAAGGAACTGAATTCTGCAAACAACCAGTGAGCTTAGAAGAGGGTCATGAGCCTCAGATGAGATTGTAGCCCTGGCCAACATTGGTTGCAACTTGGTGAGACCTTGAACAGAGGATGGATTCCAGACCCATGGAAACTTTGAGGTAATAATGGGAATTGTTTTAAGCCCCTAAGTTCACGGCAATTTGTTATACAGCAATAAAAAAGTTAATATCGACATTCAAGGGATTCACCAGAGCCAAATCTAAACTATGCAGATATAGTTTATGAATATGAACATTAAGTGATTTTATCCAACAACAAGGAGGAATCTCAAATGCATTTTTCCTAACTGAAATAAACCAGACCCCAAAGGCTGCATACTGTATGAGTCCTTTTAGATGACATTCTGGGGAAGACAAAACTATAGGGATGAAGAACAGGGGTTATCAAAGGTTGGAAAGAGGGGAAGGAGTTGACTACAAAGGGCAGCAGGCCCTTTGTTAAGTGACCTGTTCTGTGTTATGACTGTATGTTCTGTATTATAATCACATACAGGCTTATTAGAAATGACATGCTGCTGTGACCAGTGTCGTAGCTGCATATGAGGATCAGGAACATTCATATGGCATGTATTCAAGTTCAGACTGACTGTGTTACACTGACGGCCAAGGAGTCACTGGCATCACACACAGTTATCCAGTGTTCCTTGAGATAATATGACCCAATAGGGTAAATAAACAGGAAAAATGGTGTTAGTCATTCCTAACAGCTTAGTTGGTTATTCTTTTGAGAAGGGAAGAGTGAAGTATGGCATCTGAAATCTGTGAGCCAAGGTAAAGTTTATACAATGCTTAGCCACACGGCTTATCTTTGAATGGCCTGTAAAGCAATAGTGCTTACTCTCCAAGAGTAAATGCCTTGCCTTTTGACCTAGCACTTGCATGCTTGCTTTTATTCACTCCAAGTAAAAAATTCCAAAGAATTCCATCTTCTGTTAAAATTAAATTTAAAAATTTATTTTCAAACCTTAAAATGTTTTCCTAAAGCTTGTCTGCTTTGTAGATCCCTCCATTACTTTTTAGTACCACTAAATATAGTAGAACAAAGTTCTTAATGTGAAACTTCAAAGCTTATTTATGCCATGATGATACAAGTGCTTACTATTAAGACATTTCATTTTTATTCAATAAACTTATGACTTACATACAAAGGATTTATTGCTCAATAAAGATCACATTACCAAATAAAAATGAAATGATTTATTGTATTCTGTGGGCTGCACCTACAAAGATGAAAGTATCCTCAATAGAGGATTTATTAATATATGAAGAATGTAGACTATCCATGAGAGTTTCCTGTACATTAACAGTCAGCCAGGAATATTAAAAATCCAGGGATTTAATTTCCATTTGCAGAGTGGGGAGGATGCTGCTCTTCCTATCTCTGGTTTGATGATCATCAAAGTTTTCAATGCGGGAATTCCAGAGTTTGCAGCCAAATAGAAACAATTTTGTGGTAATCTTTACAATAGCCTTTTCCCCTCATTTAATCCATTTTCATCAAGTGAATATAAAAAATAACTGAAAAGCTAAATCACCATACTTGTTTTGGGGCTGGTCATATATTAGATCACCTGGCATTATGTGAGCAAGACTACAGGAGCTGGAATGAATTGGCTTATTTAAGGAAGTAAAAATCAGGCTTTCAGCAGTGGAAGGCTGTAGAGAGGGAGTGTGTTGTTTGAAAAGCAAACTAGACCTTGAAAATCAGACTGAGGAGTTGTGATATTAGTCCCTGAAAGCTTTTAAGCACATTGACAATGTTTTGATAACTGCACATTCAACCACTGTTTGAAATATCTAGCTTCATCAATTTGAAAAGGAAATACTTAAGAAATAATTACGTGTTATTTATTAAATAAGGATTCAATAAATATTATTGAATAAGGATTTTTAGTACACTATTCTCAAGACTCACTCAAAAATCTAACAATAATGGGAGAAAAACAAAAAGATCCTCCCACCCCTGCAAACAAAAAACAAAACAAACAAACTTTCCATCTTCAGTAAAATAAAGAAAAGGTCTTAAGTCCAGGCCACAAACAAAGCATACTTGAAATATTGTGAAAGCAAAGTGAGGGAGAAAAGTGAAAATTAAACCTACCTTCTAAGATCTTTACCTGGAAACATTTTGCTGCAAGGAAATGTTATGTTGTAGAAAGGTTTATCTAAAAAAAAAAAATCTCTTAATGTGTTCATACCTAAGGATGTAGATGGCGCAGGGGAAAGCAGGGAATGTCCTTTGAGACACTTTAGGAACCACAGGACGCCAGTTCAGGGGGCTGAAGGAGAGTTGTGCTGATGTGCCATCCCCATTCACATCAAGCCTCCTTGTCTGGGGAGATCACATTAATCCACATTTGAAGACCTCCTCTTCAGACACCAGCACACACAGCCTGCAACTTAAAGCTTGGGGTACCACATTGCCTCTTGAACGATGACAACTAAAAACTTAAAAAAGACATGCTTCCAAAGGAAATAAGAGAAGTGATTATTGAAACAATCTGAAATGAAGAAGACAACCACCCTAGTTCATTCTCTCACCTCTCATCACACTGTTTTTTTGACCCCAGTTGACAATATAAGCAGTGATTGTAAACGAATAACATGGTACATATACATAGATATCACCATAAAAGGGAGTGAGAGAGGAAAAGAGCAAAAGGCACTCAAAGACATGGGAATTAACTAAGTAAGTCCTGTAGAGTTTCAAAGAAATGTTAGATAACCTGGTTTCTCTATAAAAAGAGAACTTGAAGAACAGACATGAGAATTTAAAGAACATAAGAGAAGGAAATAAGACCTGGAATACTCAAAAAAGAAATAAAAGAAAAAATAATTATACTTAAGAAGAGATGCAGGAAGAAAGGGAGGAATGGAAGAAAGATTAGTGAAAAAAATTAGCTTAAAAAACATCAAACAATGAGACAGAAAAAACAAAGGACATAAAAATTGATTCTAGAGAATGAGATAGTTACAGAAGATAAAGGAACTTCAACAGTCACACAATTAGTATCTCTAAAGTACAGAACTGAATAAATATAACACCAAACATATTTAAGAATACTATTTTTTTATCTTTGAAATTTTTGTTGTTGTTATTATACTTTAAGTTCTGGGGTACATGTGTGGAACATGCAGAGTGCCATGGTGATTGGCTGCATCTATCACCCCGTCATCTACATTAGGTTTTTCTCCTAATGCTGTCTGTCCCCTATGCCCCCACCCACTGCTATCCCTCCCCTAACCCCCGACCCCACAACAGGCTCCAGTGTGTGATGTTCCCCTCCCTGTGTCCATGTGTTCTCACAGTTCAACTCCCACTTATGAGTGAGAACATGCAGTGTTTGGGTTTCTCTTCTTGTGTTAGTTTGCTAAGATCAATGGTTTTCAGCTTCATTCATGTCCCTGCAAAGGACATGAACTCATCCTTTTTTATGGCTGTATGGCTGCATAGTATTCCATGGTGTATATGTGCCACATTTTCTTTATCCAGTCTATCATTGAGGGGCATTTGGGTTGGTTCCAAGTCTTTGCTATTGTGAATAGTGCTGCAATAAACATACCTGTGCATGTGTCTTTATAATAGAATGATTTATAATCCTTTGGGATATAAATCATTGTCTATAAATTATATAAATTATAATTATAAATCATCTATAAATTATATAAATTTATATAATTATAGATTATCTGTATATTATATATAGATAAATTATAAATTATATATGTTATAATTATAAATCATTTTCTATAAATTATATAAATTATAAATAATCCTAGTAATGGGATTGCTGGGTCAAATGATATTTCTAGTTCTAGATCCTTGAGGAATCACAACACTGTCTTCCACAATGTTTGAACTAATTTACACTCCCACCAATAGTGTAAAAGTGTTCCTATTTCTCCAAATCATCTCCAGCATCTGTGGTTTTCTGATTTCCTGACTGTTTCATGATTGCCATTCTAACTGGTGTGAGAGAGTATCTCATTGTGGTTTTGATTTGCATTTCTCTAATGAGCAGTGATGATGAGCTTTTTTTCCTGTTTGCTAGCAGCATAAATGTCTTGTGAGAAGTATCTGTTCATATCCTTTGCCCATTTTTTAATGGGGTTGTTTATTTCCTGTAAATTTATTTAAGTTCTTTATAGATTCTGGATATTAGCCCTTTGTTAGATGGCTAGATTGCAAACATTTTCTCCCTTTCTGTAGGTTGCCTGTTCACTCTGATGATAGTTTCTTTTGCTGTGCAGAAACTCTGTATTTTAATTAGATCCCATTTGTCAATTTTGGCTTTTGTTGCCATTGCTTTTGTGGTTTAGTCATGAAGTCTTTGACCATTTCTATCTCCTGAATGGTATTGCCTAGGTTTTCTTCTAGGGATTTTATGATCTTACATTTAAATCTTTAATCTATATTGAGTTAATTTTTGTTTAAGGAAGGGGTTCACTTTCAGCTTTCTGCATATGGCTAGCCAGTTTTCCCAACACCATTCATTAAATAGGGAATCTCTTCCCCATTGCTTGTTGTTGTCAGGTTTGTCAAAGGTCAGATGGTTGTAGGTGTGCAATGTTATTTCTGAGGCCTTTGTTCTGTCGCATTGGTGTATATATCTGTTTCGGTAACAGCACCATGCTGTTTGGATTGCTGTAGCCTTGTAGTAGAGTTTGAAGTCAGGTAGTGTGATGCCTCCAGCTTGGTTTTTTGTTTTTTCTTAGAATTGTCTTGGCTATGCAGCTCCTTTTTGATTCCATATGAAATTTAAAGTGGTTTTTTCCAATTCTGTGAGGAAAGTCAATGGTAGCTTGATGGGGATAGCATTGAATCTGTAGATTACTTTGGGCAATATGGCCATTTCCATGATGTTGATTCTTCCTAATCATGAACATGGAATGTTTCTCCATTTGTTTGTGTCCTCTCTTATTTCCTTGGGCAGTAGTTTGTAGTTCGCCTTGAAGAGGTTGGTCACATCCCCTGTAAGTTGTATTCAGAGTTATTTAATTCTCTTTGTAGCAATTGTGAATGGGAGTTTGCTCATGATTTGACTCTCTGTTTGTCTGTTATTGGTGTATAGGAATGTTTGTGGGTTTTGCACATTATTTTGTATCCTGAGACTTTGCTGAAGTTGCTTATCAGCTTACGGAGATTTGGGGCTGAGATGATGGGGTCTTCTAAATACACAATCATGTCATCTGCAAATAGAGACAATTTGACTTCCTCTTTTCCTATTTGAATACTTTTATTTCTTTATTTTGCCTGATTGCCCTGGCCAGAACTTTCAATACTGTTTTGAATAGAAGTGGTGAGAGAGGGCCTCCTTGTCTTGTGCCAGTTTTCAAAGAGAATGCTTCCAGGTTTTGCCCATTCAGTATTATATTGGCTGTGGGTTTGTCATAAATAGCTCTTATTATTTTGAGATACATTTCATCAATACCTAGTTTATTGAGAGTTTTAGCATGAAGGGCTTTTAGTTTAAGGCCTTCTCTGCATCTACTGAGATGACAATGTGATTTTTGTCATTGGTTCTGTTTATGTGATGGATTACGTTTATTGATTTGCATATGTTGAACCAGCCTTGCATCCCAAGGATGAAGCCAACTTGATTGTGTTGGATATGCTTTTTGATATGCTGTTGTCTTCAGATTGCCAGTATTTTCTGAGAATTTTCACATCGATGTTCATCAGGGATATTGGCCTGAAATTTTCTCTTTTGGTTGTGTCTCCGCCAGGTTTTGGTATCATGATGATGTTGGCCTCATAAAATGAGTTAGGAATGATTCCCTTTTTTTGTATTGTTTGGAATAGTTTCAGAAGGAATTGTACCAGCTCCTCCTGTACCTCTGGTAGAATTTGGCTGTGAAACCACCTTGTCCTGGCTTTTTTTCAGTGGGTAGCCTATTAATTACCGCCTCAATTTCAGAACTTAGTGTTGGTCTACTCAGGAATTTGACTTCTTCACGTTTAGTCTTGGGAGGGTGTAAATGTCCAGGAATTTATCCATTTCTTCTGGATTTTCTGATTTATTCTCATAGAGGTGATTATAATGTTCTCTGATGGTAGTTTGTATTTCTGTGGTGTTGGTGGTGATATCACCTTTATCATATTTTATTGCATCTATTTGATTCTTCTCTTCTCTATTTTCTTCTTTATTAGTCTGACTAGTGATTTATCTATTTTGTTGATCTTTTCAAAAAACCAACTCCTGAATTCATTGATTTTTTTAAGGGTTTTTCATGTCTTTATCTCCTTCAGCTCTGCTCTGATCTTTGTCATTTCTTGTCTTCTGCTGGCTTTTGAATTTGTTCTTGCTTCTCTATTTTTTTAATCGTGATTTTAGGGTGTCAATTTAGATCTTTCCTGCTTTCTCTTGTGGTCATTGAGTGCTATAAATTTCCCTGTACACACTGCTTTAAATGTGTGATTTAAATACCAGAGATTCTGGTATGTTGTGTCTTCATTCTCATTGGTTTCAAAGATCATCTTTATTTCTGCCTTCATTTTGTTATTTATCTAGTAGTCATTCAGGAGCAGGTTGTTCAGTTTCCATTTAGTTGTGTGGTTTTGAGTAAATTTCTTAATTCTAAGTTCTAATTTGATGCCACTGTGATCTGAGAGACAGTTTGTTATGATTTCTATTCTTTTGCATTTGCTGAATAGTGTTTTACTTCAAATTACATAGCCAATTTTAGAATAAGTGCTATGTGGTGCTAAGAATGTGTAGTCTGTGGATTTGGGGTGGAAAGTTCTGTAGATGTCTACTAGGTCTGCTTGGTCCAGAGCTGAGTTCAAGTCCTGGATATCCTTGTTAATTTTCTGTTTCATTGATCTGTCTAATATTGACAGTGGAGTGTTACAGTCTCCCACTATTATCATGTAGGATTCTAAGTCTCTTTGTAGGTCTCTAAGAACTTGCTTTATGTATCTGGGTGTTCCTGTATTGGGTGCATATATATTTAGGATAGTTAGCTCTTCTTGTTCTATTGATTCGTTTATCATTATGTACAGTCCTTCTTTGTCTTTTTTTATCTTTGTTGGTTTAAAGTCTGTTTTATAAGAGACTAGGATTGCAGATTGCAAACCCTACTTTTTTTTTTTTTTTTTTTTGCTTTCCATTTGCTTGGTAAATCTTCTTCCATTCCTTTATTTTGAGGCTATGTGTATCTTTGCACGTGAGATGAGTCTCCTGAATACAGCACACCAATGGGACTTGACTCTATCCAGTTTACCAGTCTGTGTCTTTAATTGGGGTATTTGGCCCATTTACATTTAAGGTTGATATTGTTATATGTGAATTTGATCCTGCCCTTATGATGCTAGCTGCTGTTTTGCCCATTAGTTGATGTAGTTTCTTCATAGTGTCAATGGTCTTTACAATTTGGTATGTTTTTGCAGTGGCTGGTACCAGTTTTTCCTTTCCATTTTTAGTGCTTCCTTTAGGAGTTCTTGTAAGGCAGGCCTCATGGTGACAAAATCTCTCCACATTTGCTTGTCCATAAAATATTTTATCTCTACTTTACCTATGAAGCTTAGTTTGGCTGGATGAAATTCTGGATTGAAAATTCTTTTCTTTAAAAATGTTGAATATTGGCCCCACTCTCTTCTGGCTTGTAGGGTTTCTGCCAAGAGATCCACTGTTAGTCTACTAGGATCTTTGTGAGTAACCTGACCTTTCTCTCTGGCTGCCCTTAGCATTTTTTCTTTCTTTCAACCTTGGTGAATCTGGCAATTATTTATCTTAGGGTTGCTCTTCTCGAGGAATATCTTTGTGGTGTTCTCTCTATTTCCTGAATTTGAATGTTGGCCTGCCTTGCTAGGTTAGGGAAGTTCTCCTAGATAATATCTTGAAGAGTGTTTTCCAACTTGGTTTTTTCCTCCTCATCACTTTCAGGCACACCGATCAAACGTAGATTTGGTCTTTTCCCATAATCCCATATTTCTTGGGGTCTTTGTTCATTTCTTTTCACTCTTTTTTCTCTAATATTGTCTTCCTACTTTATTTCATTGAGTTGATCTTCAATATCTGATATCTTTTCTTCCACTTGATTGATTCAGCTATTGAAACTCATGTATGCTTTATGAAGTTCTTGTGCTGTGTTTTTCAGCTCCATCAGGTCATTTATGTTTTTCTCTTAGCTGGTTAACCTAGTTAGCATTTCATTTTTCCAAGGTTCATAGCTTCCTTGCATTGGGTTAGAACATGCTCCTCCTTTAGCTTGGATAAGTTTGTTATTACCCACTTCCTGAAACCTGCTTCTGTCAATTCGTCAAACTCGTTCTCCATCCAGTTTTGTTCCCTTGCTGGTGAGGAGTTGTGTAGAGGAGAAGAGGCATTCTGGTTTTTGTAATTTTCAGCTTTTCGCACCGGTTTCTACCCTTCTTCATGGATTTATCTACCTTTGGTCTTTGAAATTGGTGACCTTTGGATGGGGTCTCTGAGTGGATGTCCTTTTTGTTGATGTTGTAACTATTTCTTTCTGTTTGTTAGTTTTCCTTCTAACAGGCCCCTCCACTGCAGATTTGCTGGAGTTTGCTAGAGGTCCACTACAGACCCAGCTTTCTAGGGAATCACCAGCGGATGCTTCAGAACAGCAAAGATTGCCACCTGTTCCTTCCTCTGGTAGCTTCGTCCCAGAAGGGTACCCACCAGATTCCAGCCAGAGCTCTCCTGTGTAAGTCCCTGATGGGCTGCTGCCTTTTTTCAGAGATGCCCTGCCAATCAGGAGGGCATCTAGTGAGACATTCTGCCTGCAACTCTGAGCTGTGGTGGGCTCCGCCCAATTCAAACTTCCTGGCAGCTTTGCTTACACTATTGGAGCCTTGGCAATGGTGGACGCCACTCCCCCCACCAAGCTCGAAGTCCCAGGTCAAGCTCAGACTGCTGTGCTGGCTGCAAGAGTTTCAAGTTGGGTGTGGCTCACTGGCTTTAGCCCCCTTTCCAGGGGAGTGAACATTTCTGTTTTGCTGGCATTCCAGGTACCACTAGGGTATAGGAAGAAAAAAAAACTGCTGCAGCTAGCTTGGTGTCTGCTCAAGCAGCTGCCCAGTTTTGTGTTAGAAACCCAGGGCCCTGGTGGTTGTGTAGGTACCAGAGGACATCTCCTGGTTTGTGGGTTGTGAAGACTGTGGGGAAAGTGCAATATCTGGACTGGTGTGCAGGGAACCGTCCCTAATGGCTTCCCTTGGCTAGGAGAGGGAGTTCCCCAGCCCCTTGTGCCTACCGGGTGAGGTGACACACCACCTGCTTTGGCTCACCCTCCTTGAGCTGCACCTACTGTCCAACCAGTCCCAATGAGATGAACCGTGTACCTCAGTTGAAAATGTGGAAATCACCCACCTTCTGCATTGATCTTGCTGGGAGCTCCATACTGGAGCCGGAGCTGTTCCTATTTGGCCATCTTGCCAGCATCCCAAGAATATGATTTTTAAAATAACTTTATAGATGTAAACAAAGTCTTGAATCTGCAGGCTGAAAGGGCACATGAGATGCTTGAAAAAATATATATTTCCATATATACACAAATTCACTCCAATATATGGCTGGCGGAGTTGCTAAATTTCAAAGATAGGAAAATTGATAGGAAAAGTGAGTTATGTACAAAAGGGGAAAATCAGGTTTTCTTTATACTTCTCCATAGTTGCATCCTCAAAATTTGTGGTAATGGATTAGGATTGGAGACATCTGCGTGAACTCGTGTTTAGCTGAATGTAGATACAGCTGGATACATACAGAAATATATATACACATGCTTATTGTGATACTATGATTATATATAATCATAATATATATCATATATATTATGTGTGCATATATATGTAATCATCATACATATATGAAATAGTCTTTTGTCTGCAGTTCCTGGCTTATAACTTCTATAGCCTTTGTTACACTTGTTACAGTGTCTCATTACAATCTTGGGGCACTTCAGGCCTCTGGAGCAAGCCTAAAGAAACAGAATCTCTCTCTCTGACCTCCTGTCCTCCTCTTGCCTGCACAAGGCAGAACTCTACTCTGATTGTGGATCAAGAGGCCTTTGTTCCAGAGAGGCTCCTGCCCTATACTCTGGAGGAAGGAATGCTACACAGAGAGGCCAGGAAGAATCTGTACAAGGTAAGGCCTCCCTGGCTTTCCCCGTCTAGGTATGATCTCACATATAAGATCACATCCTTTTTGTTGAATCACCTTTCTACATGGTTGTCAATCTTGCCTATAATGAAGACTCCATAGAAACCCTAAAGGATAGGGTTTGGGGAGCTTCCAGAGAGCTGAACTCTTGGAGGCCAACAGAAAGGTAAAGAACTCATCCACATGGTGGGAGGGTGGTGCACCACAACTCCACAGGTACCAAACCTCCTGCATTCAGGGCCCTTCCAGACCTCGCCCTATGTATCTCTTCCTCTAGCTGTTTATTTGTATCCTTATAATATCCTTTGTAATAAACTGGTAAACCTACATGTTTCCCTGAGTTCTGTGAACCAGCCTAGCAAATTAGTCAAACCCAGAAGGGGTCATGGGAACCGTAACTTGAATCCAGTTGGTTGGATGTTCTAGGGGCCTCACACTTGCACCTCAAAGGGAAGGACAGGGTGGTATTGGGACTGAGCCCTCAACCTGTGGGATCTGATGTTATCTCTGTGTAGACAGTGTCAGAACTGAATTGCAGGATACCCAGCTGGTGTCCACTGCTTGGTGTGTGAGGGAAACCCCACACATTTGTTCACAGGCATCATTTTCTCTGTTGATGATTGTTGTGGTAATGTGAGAACAGAGAAGAACAAGGTTTGAGAATTTTCCCTATACACACATATACACTGGTTAGTATACACGTTTCTTTGCTTTGCCACTGAGCGACTCTAGAAGAACCAAAACAAAAAAATGTGCTACCCCATAGGACAGTGAAGACACCCACCACACAGATCTTATATTTAAATACCATTCTACAGTAAAGGGAAACAGGGCTCCCGGAGAAATGGCTGATACTAGAATGGGGCAGGGCTGAGTCTGCAGCATCCTGTGGTGCCAGAAAGTAAGGAAAGTAAGGAGATGCTCAAATAACAAAACAATGGGTATATGTCACCTGAACTCAGAAGCCAACAAAAGGAGCTCCCCAAGGCCAAAGCTGAAACAATATGAGCAACAAAATAAATAGCAGTATTGGATTATAACCCAAAGAATAAAATACATCCTTGAGTCCATAGTGGCAAAAATAAATATATTGAGTGAATAAATAAATGCATAAATAAGAATAGGCAAATCTGAACAAAAGAATTTCGAGTAATGTATGCACTGTCTCCCTCACGTAGGTAAAGCATAATAACATCCTGCCCCTTACGTACAGGCTGCACACAGTGACTTCCATCCAACAAGTACAATATAGAATGGGGTACAAAGAGTGGAGAAACCTGACAAACACTGCCTCGGCCCTGTGATCAAGCCCAGCATTGGTGTAAGTTGTGTTCATGGCATGTACCCTTGATACAATGTGATGAGAATGACGCTTTACTTCTGTTCTCTTCCTTGCACGAACCCATAACCTCAGTGTCATTATGAGAATAACATCAGACAAATTGAGAGCTAGCCTACAAAGTACCCTGACTTGTACTCCTCAAAACTGTCAAGGTCATCAAACACAGGGAAAGTCTGAGAAACCACAGCCCAGAGAAGTTCAAGGAGGTACGATGCTTCATATGCTGTGGTATCCTGGATAGAATCCTGGATCAGAAAAAGAAGAGCAGGTGAAAAGAAATTCAAATAAAGTGTGGACTTTAGTTAATTTTAGTATATCAATATTTTTTCATTACTTTTAACTGACAGATATACTAATGTGACACATTAACAACAAGAGAAACTGTGAGGTTCCCTTATGCCCTTGGTACTATCTCTGTAACTTTTCTGTAAATGTAAAACTATTCAAAAATTAGAAAATATTTTAAAACAAAATTTTTTCAACCCAGAACACATAGATGGTGTGAGTTTCTTTCCTTTCTTCTTTTCTGTTTTTTCTATCCATTCATGCTTTCATCCATCTCTTCTTCCATCCATTCTTCTCTCTGTGTATACATGGAGAAATGTCTGTAATAGCATCCACCACATTTAAGGACCGCTGCACCTAAATAGTGCATTTTGTAGTGGTTTTCTGAACTGTTTGACTTATTTTTTAAGATCATGCTACTTCTATTAAAGTATTAAAGTCACTATACTTTTTAAATGAAGAAGTTGGAGAGAGAAATATTAATCATTAAGAATTTATTTTTCCTAATAATATGCTAGATGTAACAAAAATCAACACTATTTCATTTTAAAAAGATAGGCAGGATATTTGGTCTAAGACAAGGTTTGCTGAATGACCATAATTCATCAGTACATTTGATTGCAGTTAATTACATAATCAAAACCCAAAAACATTCAACCTGAGAGGGCTGATTTTAAAAAATGAAAACAAGAAACCATGTGTTTAATTTTTTTTCCTGTGGGAACACATACACAGTGTCTTAATTGTGTGATTTTGCTATTAAGGTACATCACATATTTTATAGTCAGCCCCCACAGGAAAGAGAAATGCTCAATTAATCCTATTTCTATCCAGGAGAGCTCAGTTTCTAGTTAAGAATTAAACATATCTAAAAGCAAACAATACACTACTGACTTCACAACAGAGCTCTGCCTAATGTCAGATGTGGTTCTGACTTGATATAAATAGTTGTTTCAGGATAATATAATTGCAATAAGGAGTTTATTATGATTAAATGGAAAGAAGACAAATCTTGAGAAGAGTCACTGCCTTTTCTCCCTAACCCTCTGTGGAAAACTAGAACGTGTCACCCTAAAATATGAAGGATTAAGCTGAAGGCAATGAAGAATAGGAATCAGGAAAGCTCTTTGCCCTTCCTCTGTTTGCCTAAAAGCAGGACATAGACTCACAAAGACAAAAGGAATCCTGCCTGCTTCTCTACCAGGGAGAATAAAGGTTAGCCACTGAAGACAGCTTTAGACCTCATAAACCTGAGCATGGACAAACATTACTAACTGGCCTTCATCTGCCATCTATTTGCCTTCCATACTTGCCATCCCTAGAGACTCAAAATCCTTTCACTTTGTCCTGTTATTACTTAAAAATTGACTATTCTTTGTTGACAATGCTATTTAGCTGGAATTCAAAGCCACCTTTTTGAAAACTACTCGTTACCTGGGTGTCTCCCATGTATATATGAAATATATATACAAATAAATTTCTGCTTTTTTTCCTCTTTTTAATCTACCTTTTGTTACAGGGAGCTGTTCCAACTAAGAACCTATGAGGGTTGAAGAAAAATTTATTTTTCTTCTCCTACACCTCAAAACAGCAAAGGTGGCCAGATCTCTCAACTTTTAAATTTTTATGTTAATTGGAGGCAGATTTTTAAACTGCGGAATTTTAGTACTGGTAGAAATAACCAAGATCAATCCAAGAGTCTAAGTCCTTCATGTTGCAGATGAGGAACAAAGGATTTTCATGCCCACTTTTGTTTTTGTTTTTATTTTTTGAGACAGTCTCCCTGTCACCCAGGCTGGAGTGCAGTGGAGCAATGTTGGCTCACTCCAACCTCTGCCTCCTGGGCTCATGGAATTCTTCTGCCTCAGCCACCCCAAGAGCTGGGATTACAGTCGTGCACCACCATACCTGGCAAATCTTTGTATTTTTAGTAGAGATGTGGTTTCACCACATTGACCAGGCTGATTTTGAACTCCTGGCCTCAAGAGATCTTCCCGCCTCAGCCTCCCAAAGTGCTGGGATTACAGGCATGAGCCCCTGCTCCCATTCTTCATGCTCAGTTTTAAGGAAACCTGATAGACCCAATTCTTCTGGCAAAATAGATAAATTGAGGTAGATATTCATTTTACAAAATGTTTCAATGCAATATTTCTTTAAATATGCCCCCCATATGTTTTAAAAGTATTATTCAACTTATAAAATGGAATTCACACACGATTTTCAGGAATTCACCTACATTTAGCAAATACACATTTCTGTAATGTCTCCTGTGTACAAAACTCTGTGTTAGGCACCACAGCGATTGCAGGACCCCAGCTCCACTGTGAAGTAATATATGACTTTGAAGAAAACTTTATTTGTCCTAAAAACTGACAGTGCTCTCAAAACAAGGTGTAATGGTTTTCAGAAATCATCAGAGTCCATCAACAAGCAACAAAACCATTGTCTGAGTCTCACTTCCATTTCCTAGTGCCTTCGTCCTCCTCCACATTTTCCTCCATTTCAACGCTTTCCTTGTGTACCAGGCCAAAAGCCTGCAAACATCTGAGTAAGAGGTCACATATGCAAATTTCCAAGAAAAAAAAATGAACCCAAATAGAAATGAACTAGAAAGGAGACAAATATTAAGATTCTTCCAACTCCTTTACTCTTTGACTGGCCTTCATTTTGGATTTCTATTATATGGTGGGCATGTATCTTAATGTTTTCATTAACCCAGATGACTGGCTTGTAATTTTCAGCAAATCATACATTCTGAGATTCAATGTGATTCTGCTATTGATCTTCTTGAAAGGAATGTTTTAAGATTTTACTAGCAGGGGGAATGTGAAGGCCAATGTAAGTATCAGGACACTCTTTTGAAGGTTTCACCTTACTAGAAGTTATTTACCTATAGACAATCATAGAGTGTGAAAGTTCTTGGGGAGTTTATGAAACTAATAGATCAACTCCAGGACTAGGGATAAAAATCAAAAGGAAACACAATTTAATTCTTAATTTACAGAAGCAAAGCAGCTATGTGTAAGTCAAGGTGTGATTATTTGTAAAGGATCAATAATTGGGGTAGAAATGATAAAGTGTTACTCACACACCATTGTTACCACTAAGGCACTATTATGGTAGTGGAAAGATCTGGGCAGATCCTATAGGAGTTTCATGAGATGAAATTCAAGTGTACTAAATAATAGTAGATTGATGAGAATTTATCTGATTGTTCTTGATTCTCTTCCCTGCCTCCCAAAGCTACTGTCTTCCAGGCTCACAGAATCTTTGGTGGCAGCATTTTGCTTTTTGAGGTATATCCAAGGTCAAGGTTTGAAGTAGTTAGAAAATCTGACAAGAAGAAAAAACCGAATAATGAAAACAATGTATGAATAGGAAGAAAAGTCAAGTCGAATTTACATTTCTAAAGATGCTATGCTTCTGGCCAGGGGAAATAATACATTTTGCCAGTTGACTTCATGGTGTCCCACTCTGGGCTCAGACACAGATGGAATAAATGTTGGAGCTTCTTCCTAGAATTGTATGGCCAGATTCTTATAATTTAGGATTGTCTAAGTTAATCCTTGAAGAGATCAGAACTTCCTGGCCTCTCAACTCACGGATGTTCTTATCCAGGGTTAACAATGCTGAGGCTGTGCTTTGCTCCTATGAGACTAACAAGTGCACCGTGTTCTTGGCAGTCCCTTAGCTGATACTGCCGCTCCTGGGAAGACCTGTTGTTGCTTATGTTTTAGCTTCACCCTTTCCCTCCCTCTTCCTTTCAATCAGACACCCCTTTCTCAGCACACTGAGAATTCCCTGAGAGTCAGTGCACAGCCAACATTTGTGGGTCTGGCCCATATGCACATGTCCTGAGCAAACTAGAAATCTACATAGGCTTGAGGGAAAGTTAATGAAACATGAACTGACCACTCTAACATTTCACAACCAGGGAAGTCTTACAGAAATGAAATGGAAAATGAATTAAAATATCAAGATTGAGGCTTTAAAATATCAAGATTGAGGCTTTAAAAAAATGTGAGAAGAGCGTTGACATCCCATGTGGGAAGCATAGGGGTCTGTTCCAGTTGTTTTAGGAAGAGTCAGCTCACAGCTGAGAGATGCTTACAGCTGAGTGTTCTGAGCAACTTGCACACGGCAGGGGGAGGAAGAGCAGAAGGAGAAGATGTGAACTGTCGGCCCAAGCGTTTCATGGGCATTCATCTCATAGCAGAGCTCCTGAGCTGATAGGGATCTTTAATTTCAGTTGAGTCATCTGAGCTCATAGTTAAAATAATAATGATAATATTAATAGCAACTGCTGGGAACGTGCCAGACCCCTTGATGATAACCGAGCAGCCCCGGGCCTCTGGAAAGAATGGCGAAATCCGAGACATTTGAGATTACAAGAAGAAACCGTGGTTGTCATTTCATTTGTCGTGCTGTCTTAAACTTAGTTTGCCTGAGGTGAGTTCTTTGCTTTACTGTTCTTGTTATGCTCTATACTGATCATACTTGGGGACACAAAGAATATTGTGAAAAGTTAAAATGTAACTTGTAACTGTGGCCCTGCTGAGCTGTTCTTGTAAAAACAGGAACTCTGTCTAAAAGACAAGCCACATAGCCTGACTGCCGGAGAAAGATAATAGCACATAATAAGCTTCTCGATGCAGAGAGCCTATAAACGGACGTGTTATGGAAAGGCTTATTACCCCGATTCCTTTCCCAGGAAAGGCGTATTGATTATAACCCTGGAAAGAAAATGTGACCCTTATGGTGAGCCGATAAACGACACATGAGGGCCGTCTGCTGTGAGGAAAAACCTCTGTGGTGGAGATAAGGATGTAAAAGTCCTTCTCCCACTGCCCCTCCCGGCCTGCATGGAGGCCCCTCCTCTTGGAGCTTTGTGGTCAGGCTGGTTGTCCTGTGTCAGATCCTGTTCCCCCTGCAGCTGTAAGTGCAATGCTTTTCTTGCTGATAATCATAAGTTTATGTTTAACCTCTATTCTTGCTAAGGTATATGATTTCTATGCTGACACACAGAAAGAAACCTTTACATTGTTCTGCTTTTACAATACCACATTGTGATTTTTGTGTACCAGTATGATCGTCACTACAATGTTGTGTAACCTCACTCACCCTCCCTTATGGAAAGAGCCTAATAAAAAACAGGTTTTCAGGGGAATTTTAGATGTCCACGGAGCAGCATTATATGGTGTCTCTCATGGGCCCAGCTTTAAAAAAAAAAAAAAACTCTTTCTTTTCTTTTTTCCTTTTACACTGACCACTCGATCACTTTGAGAGATCTTGAATCCACGTTGATATATTGGGATCTGGTACCCAATAGCAACCTATATGAATCATATTGGTTCATATAATTCAAGTTGAATCATAAATTTCAATTTCTTTATATAAGTTTTTTTTTCAAGTGATTTAATCTTTTCTTTTCGATTAGACTGAAAATTCCAGGAGATCAGACACAGTCTTAGACTTCTGTGTCCTCTATCAGTGCCTCACCAGCTAAGCACCTAGCAGTAGGTACACAATACAGAATGCTGCTTGATTTACAAAACCAAAATAATAGCCAATAAAAACCTTTTCCTCCAACCCCCTATTAAAGATGGAATCGTTAACTCCCTAGAAAAGATATCCTTCTTACACTTTTCTGGAAGTGAGAGACTGTGACCCCATGATTTTTCAGTTAGGCCTAATAACAGCTTATATGCAATGGCACTGCCAAGCTGATTGGTAAAATGCTGAAATACCCTCATACTCTTTGGTAACTAGGCACTTCTGCTCCAGATGTTCTCCCTTTGCCATTCTGACTCCACCCTTGGGACTCCTAGATATCCTCACCATCTGTATTGGTTTCCTAGGGCTACTGTGACAAAGTACCACAAACTAGGAGGGGGTGGCTTCAAAAACAGAAACTCGCTGTCTTACAGTTCTGGAGACTAGCTGGAAGGCCCAGATCATGGTGTCAGCTGGATCATGTTCCCTCTAAAAGTACTTAGAGAAGGATCTGTTCCAGGCCTCTTTCCTAGTTTTGGTGGTTTGCTGGCAGTCTTTGGGGGCACCAAGGCCTTCATCTCTGCCTTCATGTTCATATGGCATTCTTCCTGTGTGCATTTTTATGTCCAAATTCCTCCCTTTTTTTTTTAATAAGAACACCAGTTATATTGGATTAAAGTCCTGCCCTATTTCAGCATGACCTCCTCTTAACTGATTATATCTACAATGACCCTATTTCCAAATAAGGTCATATTGTGAGGTGCTGGGGGGGTTAGGACTTCAACATGCGAATGTTGAGAAGATAAAAATCAACCATCTAATAACGAAAAGTCAACACCTGGACCACAGGAAGTCCTTTGGATTCACTCCGGTGCCTCATCTGTTCTGACTTGCCAGCAAACATAATGTAGTAATTAGTAAATATTTTGAATATCACCTTGCTCCAGAGAATTATATTCAGTGCTGATAGACTGACTTCCCAAGAGGAATGTAGAAAATGCTTTGCTCTACTTTTGGATAATACCAGGAATACTACAGATTAGAATATTCATAGTTCCCAGCCAGCTACATGCCTAGAATTCCACTTTTTATTTTGTATTTTATCAGCTAGTGAATTAGGAGGCAGAAAATGGTTATCCTCCTCAGGGTCTAAGGAAAACCAAACCCTCAGAAGCAAACAGCATCATGCTGAAGGAGATTCTTAGAGGCCAGAAACTACTGACATTCATCTAGGGAAGTCTCTGAACTCTTGGTCTGTTGGGATGAGCCAAGATAGAATGAAAGTATCCATAATGGTAGAAAGAAGACCCATGGGGACTGAAGAGCTAGCTGCTCTGCAGTGCAAAGGAGACCTCGTCAACCCTTTTAATCTTGAGCAAACTAAGGATCTCAACTGTACAGCCACATTTAGCATTTCCATTTCCTGTCATGCAAATTCAGGGGATATCAACTAGGACAAGTTTCCTTAATGTACATTCTCCTATTAATCAAGAGTCACTCCCATTGTAACTATATTTACAACTAATGGCCACAAACTGTGGCACAAACCATTTTTCATCTTTTCTACCAGAGCAGAACAGTAATTCTTGTATTTGAATATTGCTTTGCAACTTTAAGATGCACTAGCATTGAATTTATGCTGCATATACCTGGTGGACAGATGTCATCTGTTTGTGAGGACAGGGTGCAGGGTGTAAGAGAGGAGTCCTCAGGCTGTATCTTTTGCCTGGGCATTTTTAGTCAAGGACTTTAGCAGTCCTTAAGGCCAGGAGTTTTCCATTGTTTCTATGTTCAACAAGAGCAGATTCTTTTTTTCTTTTCTTTTTAAAAAACTGTTTTGAATAAAAAATGTTATGCTTTACAGCAAACAAATCTGAAAACTTCTGAAATACAATGACATCTTCATCCTCACAGATGACAACTGTGCAGTTTCAAGAGTTGTAGGCCTTAGCAGGATGCTTACAGCCATCTCTCTTTGGGAGTGATGAGCTAGATCCAAGTGGCCTTTCAGCCCAATGCTCTGGTTTCTACACCACTCTGTTTCTTTGCATTTAACTCAAATGGAGCTATTCTGCCTCTTGTTTTGTTTCTTTCACCTGTTTGGAAAAGATGTCCTTTCAAAGAAAGGGCATTGTTCACGAAAAGGAGCTCTAGCTGCAGAAGGGCAGAGGACATGGTAAAGGAGAAATGGAAGTACGAACATCTGGACAGCTGGCTCAGCCTATGCCTCAGCACCATGGCAACCTAATATTTGACAAGCTCTCTTGATCTTTTAGTATTTCCTCTGAGCCTCATGCTGAATTCTTTGGGGAAACTCCTGTTTCTGTAATGTTGGAGGATTGAGGGGAATGAGAAGGAGACAATAGAGCTTAAGCTTCCGTAGCTTTAGGTGGTCCTGAGAGACCCTGTCCACTATAGCTGAGTGCCCTGTAGTCCGAGCTACTTGTGAGGTTAAGGTGCAAGGATTGCTTGAACCCAGGAGTTCAAGACCCACCTGGCGGCATAGTGAAATCCTTATCTCTAAAAAAATTAAAATCCTGCCCACTAATCCCAGGTCACCCCTAGAGTATGGGCTCCTCACCTTCTGGCTGAGGTTAGCAGCAGGTACTAACCAACTCCTATGTGTTCTGAAGGCTCATGGTGTCTGGTAGTGTTCTGGGAATGTAACAGCCAGGGATACCAAAGGGCTGATCCTGCTCTCTTTTGCAAACAGGGGCAATAGTTATATTCCAAAAATAGCTTCCTCAGAACGTCCCCTTCAAATGGAGCTGCTTTCAATGTCTTAAAGAGGGGAAAACATATACAATCTCCAGCAAGTGACTCAGCTTCATCATATAGTTAGGTGCAAAGAAATTGCTGTACACTATGTGTGACACTTAACAATAACCCTATTGCAAGAGGCTCCATTGGTGCATCACATTGGTCTGGTAATAATCTATTTGGAATTGTAAACTATACCACTTGGTGTAATAGACTTTAGTTTTCATTTTGCCTAGTTCCACTGTGGCCCCAGGGAATTCCTCATAAAGGCACATCTGAAAGTGCTCTGGTAGGTGTCTGGAGGCTGGATATTGACTGAACAATGAAAGCAATGTTTCTGCATTGGATACCAGATACCCGATGATGGTTAAGGATGTGGAAATGTTTCTTGCTCTCTATATTCTGAGTTCCCCACCTTAAAAGAAGAAACACAAACATACTTAATAGCTCCAGTATTCTGATTTAGGGGGAAAATGATAATAAGTATTTCCTCTACTCTTAGCTTCTTGGTTGGAGTGAGAGGAAAGGGATTAGGGCACATTTGCATGCATTAAAGCTCTAATTATAAGGCGGAGTGGGAAGGAACAAGATCAGAATCTAGATTTTGCTCTTGATAGGTGGGGAATTGGGGCAGGGAGCTTCTTTCCACACAGCAAAAGTCTTGAGGTCCTGGGGTCAGCCGTAATATTTGCACATTACTGACTATTTTGCTGCATGGCAAATTTTGCTCCTAAGACATTTTGCCGTAACCTAAGAAACAAGCCATCTTAGGCTGAGTTCCCCCAAAGAGCAGAGCCTAAGGAGGAGCTTATGTCCCAGCTCTTTATTAAAGAGTGCAGCCCGGGCAGTGGCTTACACCTGTAATCCCAGCACTTTGGGAGGCCAAGGTGGGCAGAACACGAGATCAGGAGATTGAGACCATCCTGGCTAACATGGTGAAACCCCATTTCTACTAAAAGTACAAAAATTAGCTGGGCTTGGTGGCTTGCGCCTGTAGTCCCAGATACTCAGGAGGCTGAGGCAGGAGATTCACTTGAACCCGAGGAGGTAGACGTTTCAGTGAGCTGAGATTGTGCCACTGCACTCCAGCCTGGGTGAAAGAGCTAGACTCTGTCTCAAAAAAAAAATGCAATCTCAGGAAAGGAATGTGGAGGAGAGGAGTGAGATGGAGAAGGGGTGAGCAGGAGGATCAGCGT